TTTCCACGACATTCTAATTTATTGAGATGCACCTGTATATGATGTGGTTAGTCTTAGGCAAACACCACAGTTATTAGGTTATAATCAGCAAACTTTCAAAAGATATGAGGCCTCCTTCCAATATTGTAAGAAGCTTTCTGATGACAACTTACCCCAGTTTTACTTTAGTAACAAAAATGTAGTAATTAAGTCAATTTCAGTGTTTTTATCACTTTTGTCTTGATTTATCTATTGTTTTATTATAACTTCTGATTAGATCTATTACTTAAGATGATTTTGCTAATCCTTTTTTTTCCCTTTCTTTTCAAAAAGCCTTATTTATATATTTACACTTATCCAATGTTGTCCTCAAGGGGAAAAAAATACTGTAATATTTTAAACATACATTAATTGTCTAAAATGCATATTTAATGCAGTGATATTTATTAACTTGCTTACTTACTTACTTTGTATTGCATGTATTGTGCTTCATCTGTGCTCTTTTAGTAAAGTTTAATGGATTCTCCCTGGCTGTTAGTACAAGCCTTTATGCAAAACTGAAATACGCAGTTGACTTTCTAACATTTGCAGATAAGGATTGAACTGTAAGACATAAGTTATGTTCTGAGGAAATCAAGTCTCACATGCATCAAACATCACACTTATCTGTCAAAGCAACTGACGGGCAAGCCGTGCTAAATCCTATATGTTTGTTTGAAGCGCTTGATATAAAGCATTTCTCATCATGTTTATGACAGCTTGGGTCATGCACTTTTCCTGTAGCAGCCCACTCTGAGAGCTCTGCTGTTTTCCAGATGTGTTTTGTCCATAGAAATGCTTATTCACTACTGTAAAGTCACATGACAGACTGATGGATTTTCTGTGCACAGTGCACAGATGTGATTAACTGATAATCAGTGTTGATTATTTTCATTATTAGTTTGACTAGTTGTTGCAGCCCTACTTGTTATGATTTTTTAAAAAAATCACATAATTTATAGCAAACAATTTATTTGAATGGATCTTTCAAATAAAAGCCACTTGGATTTTGTTATGTCGTGTTCTTACCTGCCACTCATCAGGAAACCTGTGACCAATGCGATGAGGATGATGGCCACAGTAACAGCGACAGCGATGATGGGCACCTGACCCTGATCACTGGAGGCCGCTACTGCTGGAACAGACACCAGAGAAACACAAGAGCACGGTTTGAGAGTTCATCACAATCACTGCCTTGTTTCTTGCTAAATTCATAAGGAATTATTGTAAGTGTAGAGTGTGACATCCAATATTACACACACCCAACACTACTGTATGTG